TGAATGCCTTCCAGAAAGAAAGGTGAAAATGCGCCCTTCTCCAAATTGACTGGCCAATAGCCCGGTGACGGCCAAAAACAGCCTGGGTGAAGTGTATGAAAGAAATCTGTTCCAGACTCGAGTCATTTTCAAATGACTGGCCGAAAGGATTAGCGGTCATGGAAACTGACTGATTCATCAACGTTTCGTACAAGGTCTTAACTTAGCATGGATGCAAAATTTTGTTATATTTTTAGTTAAGGATACAGTCATGACAGTTATAGTTATTAGTCATATTGTACTACTGATGATATGGTGTACTCTGTGACAGAACGTGGGAAACGGTCATCAGTTATCAATGGTGTATCGTACCGTGAAGTAGTTGCTGCATGTCTGTCCGGCATTGCATCTGCCTGTCGACTGATCGTAGTTCTTTCCCTGATCGTACAGCTTTTGGAACACTTGTTCAGCGCTGTACATGTTCTCGGTCCATTCAAGCTCCACAACAGTCGCAGGAGCTTTGAGCTGAGCTGCGCTGGTACCTTCGTGTGGACACTGCATCACAAGCTCTTCTGCTCGTTGCGCAAGTGCAGGGTTCCATTTTTGCTAAAACAGGTACTCGCCTGAAAAAAACCGTGCGTGTGAGATAGTAAAATAAAATGTCCAAACGGTCCGAAAGCTCATGCCTCCTTAATTTAAGCCTAAGTAGCTTAAAGTCAGCGTATGCTTAATTATTTCTTGCGGGACACTGCAAACATGGGTATAACGAGGAGTTTAGTGTTGTTGCCGGGGCAACTGGATTTTCTTGAATATGAGTGATTTTCGGTATTTCGGTAAAATCCTTGATCTTCTTCTTGAGGGGCTACACTCTGAAGAAAGCAGACTTACTACGCATTGCAGGTCAGTCGCGTTGATCAGGTTTCGATACTTCGTGTACGCCGTTAGAAATAAGTGCGGAATCGCTTTTCCTATTATTTCCACCGACTGACCGAGCTGAACGATGGCCAACAGCAGCACTAGCATTTTCATCGTCACTGGCTTCGTCGAAGCTTTCAACCCAGTGACTGATGTTCAGCAGCTATGAAGCCCGCTTTTACGAGCTTGCGGGTGTGTAGCCGTATATAAATCAGTTTTCAGTGAATCCTTAATTCATTGTTTTCCTGTGTAATTATCTCATATATGTTCATCGCATATTCATTCATTCAACGCATCGCTTATTAGTGAGGTTCTTTAAATTCATCGGCCATCGATTATTTACATAAAACCTGTCATCATTGGTATTCATTGAAATGAAGTGTATATTATCCATTGAGTTGTTGCTCTCTGTTTCAGTTTTTGTTTTCTCAGACAGTTTCGTGCGACATTTGTGCCATTCCCTTCCCCCATATGATATGCTTCGGTATGCAGGATAGATGAAAGACGAAATTAGGTAAACGTTTATTGAAAATATGTCCAACGTTTTTGAAAAAATTTATTTTCAAAGCCCAAATGGCATGTCTCTTTATCCCGCTCTTCACTGCTGAATCTTCGTTTACCAGAATAGCCTAAATTTAGCACCGCACTGTTAAACGAAAGGCTCTCCAAGTTTCGCCTTACTTGTTTTGACGGTATCCGGCTGGTATGACTCTCTTTCGTTGGGTGGTGGATGGAACAGTTGGACAGGGCTTTGCGGGCGTCGTAGGAGTAGCCTTAGTCATTCCTGCACGCTGTACATTCTGTTGCTTCGTGAATATATTTTGTGGATCGGTCCAGTGTTGCGTCGTCTTCGTCGTCGTGGCCTTTGTCGTTGTAGCCTTCGTCGGCCGGCGACCCTCTTCGCCGTATTCCTCCTTTACCGTCGACTGCAGTGTACCTGCAGCAGCCATGTACATGACGCAGAACTGCAAATGCTGCTAGAACTCACATTTTCGTTTTCGGCAATATTCTCCACACGGCGCATACGGTCGCTCTCCATTCACATACCTGAATGAAGGTCCGCAAACATGACGTAACATGGAAAGCTGTTTAAACTAAGTACTATTTTAGATTTCTCTTGACAGGAGTATCTGCACTCTGTGATGAATAATTGATTTTCTGAGCATAAAATGGTTGTTTATTATTAAAATATTCACCTATTTACACGCACTGATACACAGCAGGGAGCAATGTACTTGTTCACCCCATCAGGAGTTAAAATTCACCTTACAGACATACATATACCGTACTGACTGTGCAAACTACCACGAGAAATTTACTGTCATTTACCTTGAATCGTAGGCGCACACCACGAAAGCAACCGGATCGTATGTCCTATTGCAAATCGAGTAGTCACAACCGATCGCCGTGTTCTGGGCCCACGCGAACTAAACATATATATAGTATAATGTTTCAGTATAATCGCATCAATTTAAAACTGAAAACCATACTGAATTCCTTTCGATCATTGATCTTCGATCAGCTTTAAAAAAACTAAATTAGTATAAAATTGTAATAAATAAAATACTGATTAATATAATGTGTAATAATTATTGTTAAATCTCATTTATAATTATCTCGATTTACGATATGGAATTAACAAGGCTATGGTCATACCTGCAAGTAGTTGCGGCATGAATGTCTTCTTTTGCACATGTTTGCCGTAGGCAGGTAGTTCTTCCCCTCATTGAAAAGTGCACGAAACACGTCATTGGCGTCTATCTGATCATCCGCCCTCAGTTTTACGGCTGTAGTGCCGTATATCGTATCTTCCAGGCACATGGTTCTCATACAGTCTTCAGCCACGTAAGTCGCGTACCGAGCTAACTTGTTGCTCCACGTTTTCTATAAGTGTAAAAAGCGGATATAAAGTTCGAAGTCACCCTCCACTAAATTTTCTGTCACTGACAAAAGCGAAAGTTCCACTATCTTTGGATTACATCTTGTGCTGACTTTTACACTAGTGGGACAATGCTATACCCGTTTCTCGGTATAGTCAAAGAAATCACGTAGAAACTGTTCATCGACATCGAGTTAACGGAGAATATAATCCGGGTCTTGAAATTTATAATGGTCACCTTCTAAAAAGAGTGCCCATACCCATTCCCATTTTTTTCTAAGACAATTCTGTATAAAAGAGACTAGTCAAAAAAACAAAGAATTTTACCTTGTGCAATTATCACCACAAGCCGTGAAAAGCTTCAAAAGTCAGACCGGACTGGAAACCCTCTTCTCGAGAATAAGCAAACTATTCTTCGATAAAAAGAGCAATTTGAAGAACTCCTTAACCTCGCGCAACCGCAGGAAGACTCGCCTGTACAGCAGAAGGGTAGAGATAATACTATCTCTGTAGAAATTGCACAAGCTGTGAAAAGCTTGAAAAATTGAAAAGCCGCCGGAATTGACGAAATCCGCCCTGCGATGCTCAAGGCATATTAGGCTAACAAGGCATGTGCTGGCTAACACGTGTCTGTCAAAC